GGCTGCCGGGCTGCCAGAGGGATGTCTGATTGCCAGCTTAGGCCCAATCCCCCGGGGAGCAGGCCTAAACCAGCAGGTGGTCCTCCCCTGAGGGGTCCCAGACTGCGAGAGGGCACAGGCCGGGCTGAGGGACCCTCTCCTCCCCCCTGAGTGCACAAATTTTTGTGCACTGGGCCTCTAGTAATAATAATAAAAGGAAGCCATATGGCTGACCATTGTCAGACTAACAGCACCAGCTTTCTCTCCCGCACCCACTGCGTTCCAAGTGGTGAGAGCAAGTAGAGAAGCCAGGATCCGACCTCATTGTATCCAACACCCCAGATTGCGAAGCCCACTGCCTTCCATCGCCTCTTAGACCCGAGGCATCGCGACAGCCACTGGGAGGGACGCTCACCGTTGGCCGTGCAGTAGCGCCACCTGCCATTGAATCTGTCTTCCAGGGAGCACCAGGCATAATCGCTGTGCACAGAGATGCAGCTGTAGTAGGTCAGGTCTTCGTAGGTAAATGGGAAGACACAGGGAGCATTGAAATATTCTGGGACAGAGGGGAACATGGTCAACGGGGCCTGGCTTACGAGAGGAGTGGCCGTTCCGCTGCCCCCACATCCACCTGGCCAGTCCCTGGCGCCCTCCCGTGTGCACGGCACAGAACGTACGTGGGTCAGAGGAGGCCTGACCTCATCCCGCAGTGGGGAGCCGCCTGTAACAGGTGGCTTCCGTCGCAGGCAAGCACCCCCGCCCCGAGACTGGACACCCGTCTGCGAACCTGAAATTCTGGTCTTTCTTATGGCCCTCTTACCCCCTCTCCTAGGAAAAGAAATCTCTCCGCCTCCTGAAGGCGGCTGCCCCTGCGCTTCGCTCAGGGTGATTCGCTTCCCTGCGCGCCATGGGTCACCAGCGAGCATTGCGCCTTTGCCTTGACCACGGCAATAAGTTATTCCTGGATACTCCCAACCTTTCCTCCCCTCATTGTTAGTGAGAATGTTCTTTCTGAAGGTTCTAATGTGACCTTGCCACCGACTTATTGCTCTAAAGGCAAGAATTGGCATTGAAGTGGCTACGATTCCCTCTTGATCTGGTTCCCCAAACACCTCCAGCCTCACCTTGACCACCTGTGACCCGCTCTGGGAGCGGGCAAGGCCACGCCCCTTCCTGCTCCCATTCAGCCTGTAGGTGAATCTCCATGAAACCTCCTTGAACGTCCACACTATGCTAGATCCACTTGTACTGAACTTGCGTCTTGGTGCCCCTTTTTTTCCATTTATTTGACCTGTAGTGACCTGTTCAGCATCTTTCTCGTTTGTCAGGAATGACCACAGGTTTCCTGTTCAAAGCTAGACCCATATTATCAACTGATAGGAGCTGGCACAGAACAGAAACTTAATAGATATTGATTGGTCTTTCATAATAAGCCTGAAATGATTTTGATGCAAAATTCATTTTCTTTTACTATTTAGCAATTATTTACTCTTTATCAATATACATTACCTATATTTACTATTTAATAATAATTACATTATTATTTTAACAATTATGTCAGAACTTTTATTATTTTGCTATTTAACTATATTGTTATGTTTATCATTTAATATTTAAAACCAGAGGCCCAGTGCACCAAATTCATGCACTGGGGGGTGGAGGGAGTCCCTCAGCCCATCCTGCCCCCTCTCACAGTCCAGGACTCCTCGGGGGATGGCCACCTGCCAGCTTAGGCTCAATACCCCTGGGGATCAGGCCTAAGCCGGCAGTCGGACATCCCTCTTGAAATCTGGGATCCCTCCCTCCTTACCACTTGGCTTGCTGCTCCTTAGCACTGCCATGGAGGCGGGAGAGGCTCCTGCCACTGCTGCTGCACCGGCCAGCCATGAGCCCCGCTTCTGGCTGAGCAGCCACACAGAGCAACCCTGCTGTCCACTGCTCTGAAAATAGCCTCCTTCAGACGCCAAAAGCAAGAGAGCTGAAGGGCTATGGTTCCCCACCTTATACTCTAGGCCTGTGGTCGGCAAACTCATTAGTCAACAGAGCCAAATATCAACAGTACAACGACTGAAATTTCTTTTGAGAGCCAAATTTTTTAAACTTAAACTATCTAGGTAGGTACCTTGTTATTAACTTAATTAGGGTGCTCCTAAGGCTTAGGAAGGGCCACACTCAAGGGGCCAAAGAGCTGCATGTGGCTCTCGAGCCAAAGTTTGCCGACCACGGCTCTAAGCCATGTTGGCCAAACCCCCGAACAAGTAATTGCTGATTGAAATCGTTTTAGAAACCAACCAACATATCTGTAACCTGTTCACTGGCTTGACTATCCCCATAAAGTGTTCCCACATCTGCATTTCTCTCCTAAAACTCCCAACTTCATGAGAGCTACAGGTTACAACTGAGCACCAGCTGTCTACATGCGCATATGGCTCCTCTCTTCCAAGAATGGAGACACTGAGGCATAGTTATCTACAGTGGATCCAGATGAACTCCATGGTTAACTTTTTAACTTAAAAAACAGATACAAAAGGTCACATGCATCTGAAATGTCCAGAAAAGACCAAGCTAAAGAGAAAGCAGATTAGTGGTTGGTGGGACTGGGAGTAGGGGTGACAGCAAATGAACACAGGGATCTTGTGGGGCCGGGGTCGGCAAACTGCAGCTCGCGAGCCACATGCGGCTCTTTGGCCCCCTGAGTGTGGCTCTTCCTAAGCCGTAGGAGCACCCTAATTAAGTTAATAACAATGTGCCTACCTATAGAGTTTAAGTTTAAAAAATGTGGCTCTCAAAAGAAATTTCAATCATTGTACTGTTGATATTTGGCTCTGTTGACTAATGAGTTTGCCGACCACTGTCCGGGGTGATGGAGATATTCTAGAGTTGAATCGAGGTGATGTTTACACCACTCTGAGCATTTATTAAAAATCAGTAAATGGTATATTAAAATGGTGAATATTATGGTATGTGGGTTATACCTCTACATAGAATAGGTCGTTAAACGTAACAACCAAACAAACAACAAGACCCACAAATGCTGATGGCAGTACCATAGAAAAGGGGTGGGGGAGGTCATCTGGGAGGGCTGGCTGAAATGGATCTTGAAATACAGGATTTGGCTGGCATGACCAGGGAGGGCCTTTTGTGCCAGAAGAAAAGCAAAGGAAAGAGTAAAACAGCCGGGAAATGCCAGGAACTTTCAGGAAGATGATGCTGTTTCACAGGCACAGGGGGGTGGGGGTGGGGAGGGGGCCTGACATCTCAGATGCTAACAAATAAAGAAATGTATTCCCACCTGGAGCTGGAGGATATAACTGGACATTCAATTCTGAAAGAGGAAAAAAAAATGGGCAAAATTTAGACCATCTCCAAAAATACTCGAGTCGTTCTGAGACTGTTAAAGGACCTTGAAGTTCATATAACCAACGGCTCTCCTGTTGGGGAACAACCTTTGCTATCCCATTTTGGATGACTTATGATCACTCCTCATTGATGAAGGGCACCCCAGACACAGCCCACTCATTCAGCCCGAGTCTGAGTTTTTCTTCGAGTAACTCCCATAACCCTGCCTTTGGGGGGCGCTGTTTCTCACCCCCAAACTCTTTTTTTTTTAATATATATATATTTTATTGATTTTTTACAGAGAGGAAGGGAGAGGGATAGAGAGTTAGAAACATCGATGAGAGAGAAACATCCATCAGCTGCCTCCTGCACACCCACTACTGGGGATGTGTCTGAAACCAAGATACATGCACTTGACCAGAATCGAACCCGGGACCCTTCAGTCCACAGGCTGATGCTCGATCTACTGAGCCAAACTGGCTAGGGCACCACTACTCTTTGAAAAAAAAGTGGCAAGTTAATCTCTTAGCGTCAATTTCTCTGTCTGTAAAATATTGATGATAATGAATGAATTTTGTAGAGTTGATGCTAGACTAAAGTACATATTATTAAACATATCTGGTACAAGATGTGTATTCAATAAATGATAGTATGATGGTAAGGCTTTTGTAATTCCTCTAAAGTATACGATTTTCCTTATCTGGTCCTTTTTACATCAATATACCCTGATTCACAATTTAGTGGTTAATAAAATACTATCTTTTATTGTTTCTTATACTTTTGGATTGGTGGTG